TTTTACAGCTTCTCGCTCCTGTTCAATACGTCCATAGTGAGAGATGGTAGGAGTACTTACTGATAGGACAGCTTGAAAACCAGCTATCTGGAGCTTTAGTATCTGAAGCTTTCTTCTAAGCTGCGATCCCCTCACGCGGACATGTTAATGCATGCGGCCCTAAAACTTTCTGTTAATGTTGTGGAAATGCAAGTATACTCAGGTCGATCAACATGCTATCACACAGATGGAAAGAAAGCTAATGCAGACCATGGAGATGATAGTCATAAAAAAGCGCAAGGTAGCGCAATATGAAAGGGAATTGGCACTTAGCGCTTTTTCAAGAGGTAGGAAAATCAAGTAGCAAATTACATTTTCTTGTGACTTTGATTTATCGGCAATGTTTCAAGAAGGAAGGAGCTTACCACCATAAAATCCGCACTTTTTGAGGAAAAGATGAAAACACCGGGCTTTTCCATCGCATTTGGGGTACTGTTGCAAGTGCAGCTGGTGGAGGAACACTTAGTGATCAAATAAGGTCGGCTTTGCTAGTTTTTGTGTTCATACAATGCCTTTTTTTACCAATAAGTTTACCATTATCTTTTCTCCATTTTTCTCAAAGCTCTTGAAGTCTGCTCTAATATTTTTGCTTGACAGACAACTAAATTCGGAAATCATCCCACTGAATGAACTAAGTCGGTATCTTTTTCTTGAAGTTGTGGAACTGCGCAACATGAAGGTATTTTTCTCTATTTTTCATGTGCCTCCTAAATATCTTAGCTGTTATTTCTTAGGAACGCATGGATTACAGCAAAACATGGATGGGAAAGTATTTCAATGTTCTTGGACATTTCTTTTCCGTATACTGCATTTGGAAGATATTTATCTGCACTGTAAATATCGTCTTTGATCGAGTTGGAAAGGTTGACCCCGTCACGAAAGGCATTGAGATCATTGTAAACTGGCTGGGAATAGATCTAGATGTGAGTTTTGCTTGCAATCACAACTACTCGATTATTATTTCATTCCTTATAGGTGCGATTTTGGTCACAGCATATTTCTTTCTTTCTTGTTGGCGTCATAGCTGTTACTTCAATTAGAGGGCTGCTCATAACGCTGACAAAGTTTTTCTTGGCTATTTCTAGCTCAAAGTCATCTAATATCATCGTCTTATTGTTAGCGCAGATCATGGTGGGTTCTTCTTACTTATCAATGACATTTTTGAAATATCTCCTTTTTAGGGTATGTATTTTGTCTCAAGTGTGCTGCTCATGCGAATGAATGTTCCGCATCAGTATAGGTAATCTTGCTGTTTTTCTTCTGCATTTTATCTATCGTCCTGCCTTGTTGCTAATGCCTTTACTTTGAGGAAAATCATCACAGAAGTCCTTGGCGACTTGCAGTTCAACTTTTACCATCGATGGTTTGACGTGATTTTCTTGATATCTGCGTTATCTAGCATAGTTTTTCTGTATCTAGCTCATAAGCAGGTCCCTGTTCACTGATGTCGTTTCTGTTTTGTTTGTTAACAAATTGTAATTGTAATAGTTGTGTAATTATGACTGTGATATGGGTTCTGTTTGTTTATAAAGTTTATCTTGTTTTACTCGCAGTGCGCTACAACTTGGGCGCGTCGGTACCATCTGAAATAATTCAAAATGCTGCAGAAAACTGAAATTTGTTCGGACTTGCCTTCACATACTGGCATGCAGCCGAGCATCTAGATAACACGAAACTCCCTATTAAACTTGTAAATGAGACGTGGCAGCATTTGGGAAATCTCACCATTTCATTACTATCGGTTGCCATTGTACCATGACCGGCTTTCGCATGCCATTACTGCATCACTACGACACCCACCCCAAGATCGGTAAGAGGAAATTTATTAATCCTAAACCACTAGGTCGAGGCAGAAAGAATTCCACTGTTCTTGTCAAGTTCCGTCTTCTCCAAACTAGGCGAGTAGCTAAGCTTTATTTCTATGCAGATGTCGCAGGCTTGTGCGGATCGGAT